CCTGTGGCCTGGGGGCCCGCCGCGGGCCCCCCGCCAGCCTGTCGTGAGTCAGATCCCTTTCCCAGACTCTGGGTCTTATGGATGTCCTGTGGAGAGCCGTTGGGACGTATCCAGTGCTCCAAGGGTGGACTTGCTTCCTGGTGGGTTTTGAAGGAGCCTCCAAGAGCTCTGCCTAGCAACCAGGAAGGGTTTTGCCCCAGCTGGACTCCGCAGCTCCAAATGGAACCCAGGTGCAGCCTTGTCGTGAGTCAGATCCCTTTCCCAGACTCTGGGTCTTATGGATGTCCTGTGGAGAGCCGTTGGGACGTATCCAGTGCTCCAAGGGTGGACTTGCTTCCTGGTGGGTTTTGAAGGAGCCTCCAAGAGCTCTGCCTAGCAACCAGGAAGGGTTTTGCCCCAGCTGGACTCCGCAGCTCCAAATGGAACCCAGGTGCAGCCTCTAATCTGGGAAGGTCACCCAACCCAGCAGGTGTCACATGGGCAACCTCAGAAACCCCCTAAGCCTGGCCCCCTGGACCAGCCCTTCCACAACTCTGCCCAGGACAGCAGGTGCCTGCTGGATCTGGGCTTGGAAGTGTGAGAGGGGGGAGGTAAGCATGGTTGTGCTCCAGAGAAGCAGCTGCTACTTTTAAACCTACTATCCATGGTGGTCTTTGAGGTTGCCTCTTGGCCTCAGAGAATCCCAGTAGAAGTTTGGAAATAGCCTCTCTACCTGGAGCCAACTGACTTCTGGAACTGGCTTTGGATGACAGCTGGGGTATAGGTTCCAATGTCTCACCTAATAGCTTGTGTTTATAAGCTGCTGTTGGGTGTATGCTGGGTGGAGTCTTTTTGTTGTTTTTAATACTGTATTTTTGTATGCCTTTTGCAAAGTGGTGTTAACTGTTTTTGTATGAGAAAAAACACTCTTGGGCAATTCTGTTGCAAGGGTCTGATTTATTTTGAAAGGCAGATTCACCTGAAATTTTGTATTTAGTTGTGATTATTGATTGCCTGATTTTAAAATGTTGCCTTCCGGGACATCTTCTAATAAAAGATTTCTCAAACATGTCTAAGTAGGGGCTGCTTACACCCACCCAAGTCCCTCTAGAACCAAGAAAAAGTATTTTAGGGTAGCCACAGGGATCCAGAGGGCTGCATTCTCTAATCATGTTGCTAACCTGGTCATTCCACTCTGGGTTCCTGAAATGCCATTTCAGACATGTCTAAACAATGCAGGCTCAGTGCTCAGTGAACATGAAATTCTCTTGTGAATTGCAAAGAGTGCCAAGTTTGTACTTTAGGAGTCTTGAAATCCTGGCTCCACCATGTCTTCTATAGTGTTTTAGCTTTGTCTTTCTGAGTTCTAGTTTCATTATCTTTTTTTTTTTTTTCTTTTTTTTTTGGAGAGATTTTCACTGTAGGGCGCATGCGCTCGTCAGACAGACAGAGAGAGACATAGAGACAGAAAGCGAGAAATCACCCCCCAGGGGGGATGGTCACGCCGCAATCCCCTCTCCTCTATTCTCCTCTCGGGATCTTGGGCACGCACGCACACGTGCCCGGCGTGAGTTTTAAGCCACCGGGTCCGGGACACGAACCGCGGTCGACTACGTGGGAGTCCAGCGACATAGCCATTACGCCAACTGCTGGTTCCCTAGTTTCATTATCTTCACGATGGGAATAAATGCGACATCATGGGGGTTTTGCAGGTATTAAACGAGGTAATAGACTTTAAACTTCTTCCTTCCTTTTTTCTTTCCTTTCTTCCAAGAAAGAGAATAAGAGAAAGACAGGCACTCCTAACAGGGTCTTCATGCCACAAGCCACCCCAGTCCTGGTGCACATGCATAATCATGTGTACTTAGCATGTACAGGGAGGTCCTGGGATGTGAACCCAGGACCTTTCCCACATGGGGCCAATTGTATTACCACTGTGCTACCACCTGGCCCCTAAACCTTTTTTGAATAGTAAAGCCTTTAGAATGGTACTGATCATAATGGGATGATGACCTTTTGTGGGATATTGTTTTAAAAGTTCTCTGAGAATTGGAGTCAGAAGTGGCATGGTGGTTAAGGTGTTAGACTCCCATGTGGCCAACCGCAGTTTGAGTCCTGGACCCACTGGCTTGAAAATCATTCAGGGTGTATGTGTGCCTCTGCCCAAAATCCTGAGAGGAGAATGGAGAAGGGACCATGATGTGGCCATCACCACCTTGGAGGGGATTTTCTACTTTTTCTCTCCAGCAAACACCTGCACCTTATAGCAAAAACAAAACAAAACAAAAAACCCTAAAGAAAAAAAAAAAAAAAAAAAACTACCTTAGAATTTGTGATGTAATACAATTTTTTTTTCTTCCAGAAATATAGTATTTTGGGGACCAGCAATCGGTGTAATGGCTATGTCGCTGGACTCTCATGTTGTTGACCGTGGTTCAAGTCCTGGACCCAGTGGCTTAAACTCACGCCAGGCGCTGTGCATACATGCCCACAATCCCAAGAGAAGAATGGAGGAGAAGGGATTGCAGCGTGGCCATCATCCCTGGGGGTGATTCTCGCTTTCTGTTTCTGTCTTTCTGGTGAGTGCATGCGCCCTATAGCAAAAATCTGTCACACACACACACAAAAAGAAATACAGTATTCTGTTTCTTTGTCCCTTGATTAATGAAAGAAAATGAAGGCTTCTTTCCCCTCCCAGGGTTCTGACAAACTTGTGAACGTAAGAGGGGTGAGCTGAATCATAGCTATTCCTTCCGAGTACTGCAGACATCTAAGTACTCTGCTCACTTCTTCATATTAAGCCATACCAACCTTATGCCTGGGCTACAGATGAGGAAACCGAAGAACTAATAGTAAACAATAAACAAAATCACCTAACGGTTTTTGCAGTGAATGAGTTGGGATTTGAAATAATCTCTGCCTATCTCTAAAGCCAGGGGTCTTTTTATTTTTTTAATAAAATGTATTCCATGAATGAGCGACAGAGATACAACACCCCTGACAGCGTCACTGCAGCAATCCCCTCCAGTGTCAGCCAGCTTAGGACCTGGGCATACAGACCCTCTGAGTATTCAGGGAGGTCTCTTGCCTGAACCAGCAACTTCCCCAAGTGCATCTGTGTTCCTCACAGAGTGCTGTGTTTTACCACTGTGCCACCGTCCGGCCCCAAGAGCCAGAGGACTTGACACTGCATTTATAAAGATCAGTTTGTTTGGGGCTGGCCCTGGGGACTAGTGTTAGAGGGAGCCGGCTCCGACATGGTTGACTGTATAGTTTGAATCCCAGTCCCGGTGGTTGAAAAATATGCCGGGCACCAGTGTGTGCACGTCCCAGATCCTGCAGGACAGAGAGATGGAGAAGATAGGAGTGCAGTATGATCATGCCCCGTTGGAGGGAGGGCACGCTCGCTCTCTATTTTTCTCTCTCCCTCTCTCTCTCTATCTCTCTGGCAAGCACACATGCCTTCCGGCAATTAAAAAAGAAAAAGAAAAAAAGAGATGAGTTTGTTAGCATGGGGTGAGTATCGGGAAGGAAACGTGAATACTGTCATCTAGCTGCTTGTGAACTGTCTCTGTGAGGCCAGTGTCCCTGCCACTTGCTGGAACGCAGTGGAGCAACTGTTCTGTGACCAGCCCCTGCAGCATTTGTGTGCTGGGTGGGACAGTCCTGCTCCAAAGAGGCCCCCTCTGGAACTGGGAAAAGAAAACAATTGTGTTGAAGAAGGTTACAGGAATCACGGTGAGGGGAAGCCACTCTGTCCCCACTTATCCTCCTGCCTTACAGCTGGGACCCCTGCTGGTATACTGCCCAGTCTGCCAGCCTATGGAGCCTGAGTAGGGTCTAAAAGCCACTGTAGGGGCAGGCAGGTGGCATGGTGGTTAAGGGCACTGGACTCCCACATGACCGACTGCGGTTCGAGTCCCAGACCTGCCGGCTTGCTTTCTCACTTTCCCCCTCTCTCTCTCTCTCTCTCTCTTGTCCCTCTCTGGTAAAACTTAAATAAATAAATAAATAAATAAATAAATAAATAAAGTTAAATACTTCTTTTCTAAAAAAGGCTACTCTATTCCTCACATTTACAAAGTGAACCTCTTGAGACGCTCACCAAAACTTGGTAATTAAACAATATCTGCCCCATAGTTCTGGTGTGTAGAAAGTTTTCTTGGTCAAAGTCACAGAGCAAAATGAGAATTCCAAGTCCACCTTCCTGTTGGGTAAACTTTCCACCCAATCCCCCCTGCTCCTAGATCATAAGCCCAGAACCTAAGTTGCTATCTGATAAAACAGACTTGATGCCTGCAACTATTTTCTTAAAACTTCCAGGGTATTCGTTCACCTTTTTTTTTGGAGAGGTTTTTTTTTTGTTTGTTTGTTTGTTTGTTTTGCTATAGGGCGCATGCGCTTGCCAGACAGACAGAGCGAGACATAGATAGAAACGAGAAATCACCCCCCAGGGGGGATGGTCACGCTGCAATCCCTTCTCCTCCATTCTCCTCTCGGGATCTTGGGCATGCATGCAACGCGCCCAGCGTGAGTTTTAAGCCACCGGGTCCAGGACTCAAACCACGGTCGGCTACATGGAAGTTCAGCGACATAGCCATTATGCCAACTGCTGGTCCTCAATAAATAAATAATTCTTCAGAAATTAAAAAAAGAGAGGGTGAAAGGGCCAGAGAGTGGTGCAGAGGTAAAATGTGATGCTCCGTGAGCCTGACCCCAAAAAAGAAAAAACTAAATAATGATTTATTTATTTAACTTTACTTGTATTTTTGTTTTGTTTTGTTTTGTAGAGGTTTTTGCTATAGGGCACTTGGGCTCACCAGAAAGAGAGAGAGAGACAGAGAGACAGAAAGTGAGAAATCACCCCCAGGGGAGATGACCACGTTGCAATCCCTTCTCCTTTACTCTCATCTTGGGATCTTGGGCACGCACACACACGCGCACGGTGTGAGTTTAAGCCACTGGGTCGGGGACTCAAACCGCAGTTGACTACATGGGAGTCCAGCGACGTAGCCATTATGCCATCTGCTGGTCCCGTTATTATTTTTTTAAGTTGGCCAGAGAGCAATAAAGAGAGAGAGAGAAAGGGAAAGTGAGAAAGCAAGCCACCAGGTCTAGGACTTGAACTGTGGTCAGCCATGTGGGAGTCCAGTACCTTAACCACCACCGCACCTGCCAGCTTTCAACTTCCTTTTCAGGACACTAATTTATAGTACTTTTTAACCTGGGGGTTGGGGGGAATGCAGACATTCAATATAATGGTAGGGACCCTCAGGTACAGGACTAATGCTGGTCGTTTTGCATGTCTCAGTTCTCAGGAGAACTGGGAGCAGGGTAGTGTCGGCCCCATTTCACAGAGAAGCAACGCAAAGTCGGAGGCATTTAAGCGTCATTTGTCCAAGCCCACACAGCTAGTACCAGCTGCCTGACTCCCGCTTCAGCTCCTTTGAGTCAACTCTGCTGAGAAAAGAGTGGGAATAAAGCCATCTCCTGGGGGGAAAGGGAGGGTGTTTCTGGAATGTGAAGTATTTTAAGCTCCTTCCCAGCTCCTTTCTACAGACTCCTACCTCTATCTTTGTCTGAAAATAGCCAGGAGTTTATTCCTGGGTTTCGGAGAACAATTTTTACAAATTAGGTTTGCCTCTGAAGAGTACACACCTAAGGGACTACCCGCCCAACTTGAGGGAGAGGACAATAAGGGACAAAGAGAGGTCACCCTGTCCTGTCGGTTAGACAATAAAAGCCTGAAGCAGGTGCTGAACTCCTGCCCCTGTTGGCAGCGATTTTGGGGGACCTGAGGCAGGTTAAACTCTCTTAGTAGTCCTGAATTTTTCTAACGTGCTGCTGAGGTCAGGGTCGTTCGGAATAATCACTTTAGTAGGGGAAAAGAGGTGTAGGGTGGCTTTGTTGATCTGGAAGGCGATAGGAGGGAGAGAGGTTCCCTGTGAGGATAAGATAACCAGTTGGAGCTGATGGATGACTGGCGTCCTAGGGAGGGGAGGTGTCTAAATGTGTCAGCTACAGTTCCGTTGGTGTGTGGGCACTTCTACTGTAAGCCCAGTGGGTGGCTTTTGTTAATGTGTGTTTATTTAGAACTGCTCCCGCCAAAGAGCTCAACTGTATTAATGTTACCATTCTCTTGGCAAGGACATGTAAATATGGTCTTGCAGCCTCTAATCAGGTGTGTTATTAACCGATTAGGCTAAGTGCCAGGGGGCCAGGAGGTGCCCAGTCCATACTGGATTGCCTTTAAACTGGTGAAAAGCCGTATGGTTTTCTGGTCACTCACATCCAACAGGTCTCAGTTCCCAGTCTTGGCTCTGCGTCTTCTAGCTGCACCACCCTGGGCAATTATTTACCTCCCTCTGTCCCAGTTTCCTTGTCTGGAAAATCGGTATAAATAATCGCACCTGCTTCTTTGGGTTGTTGTGGACAATGGTAAATGACTAGTGTTATTTAAACAATGTAACCAGCCACTCCTAGAATAGAGTAGTCCTATTTGGAAGGTGATGGATGGAGAGAATTGACAAAATAAAAATAATTTCCCCAGAAGAGTACTAAAATAGTCGGAGGGCACATATTGATGCCTCAGGAGGTGGTTAATCATCAGGGAAGGAGAAGCCAGGGTTTGGGGAGGTCAAGACAGGCAGAGGGAGAAGGGAGTGCATCACCCAATGGCCATAGCAATCAGGAGTGGTGTGTCTGTAGAGCTATTGCACACACAGATCCTCCATTATTTTTTCTCCCTTCTCTCCCTCTACCCTTCCCTTCCTTCCTTCCGTCTTTTCTTTTTAATTGTCATAGGTCATGTGCATTTGCACACATGCACATGCGAGAGAGAGAGAGAGAGCGCATCCCCACCCTCCATGGAGCGAGGCCATTTCGAAGCTCTACTTCCTCTATTTCTCCTTCACGTCAGGATTTGAGGCATGCATCCACACATACCCTTCGTGTTATTCAAGCTGCTGGGAACAGGATTCCAGCCATGGGCAATCATGTGGGATATAGATTCAAAACCAGAACACTTAACCAGTACATAGTTTGGCTAATTTTCTTTTTCTCTCTTTTCTTTTTTTGTTAGAGGGTGTATGTACTTACTAAGAAAGAGACAGAGAGAGAGGGAGAGGGAGAGGGAAAGGGAGAAAGCACCCTCCAGTTTGGTGTGGTTGTGCCGCGGTCCCTTCTTGGTTTCTCCATCCTGTTGGGATGTTGAGCACACGTGCACATGTGTCTTGCATGTTTTTCAAACTGGTCAACCACAGTTGGCCATGTGGGATGCAGCTCCCTTAACCACTAGGCCACGGAGCTGGTTCCCCTCCATTTTTCTTAAACTGAGCTGGAGTCAACTGATTCCATTCCATCCAGCGTACACACACACACACACACACACACACACACACTCACACACTTCTTTACTCATGGTAGAATGTGTGCGTGCACTTGTGAGAGAGAAAGATGAGCACCCTCCATGGGATCTGGTCACACCATGACGCCTTCCTCCAACCCTCCAGCTTGTTGAGTCTCAGGCATGGGTACGTGGGCCTGGTGTGTTTCAGGCTGGCCATGCTGGGGACTCGAATGGAGGTTGCCATACGGGATGACACTCTCGAGAGCAGGCTACCAGGGAGCCGTGGAGTTGGCCCTCTCACACCTGTCTGTGAAGGCAGTGACTCTCAGCCCTGAGTCCGAACAGCTGAAGAACCTGCCCCGTCCCAAGGCCTGACACAGTGAATCACAGCCAGAAATCTGCATTGCTACCAGGCAAGCTGGAAGGTAAAAGCATCCAGAGAAGCCCATTAGTGTACAGGTCGAAGCGCAGGGCTTTGGAAAATAGCAAAGCGTTCACAGAAGGTGGTAGAAATGGTACAGGGTAGCAGTTTTGAACAGGGACTTGGGGTTACTACCTGTGTAATGCTGGACAAATCAATTAACCTCTTTGAGTCCCTAAAGTCTCCTTCTGTAAAATGGAGAGACTAGCCATACCTGCCTCACAGGATTATTGCAGAGATTAAGTGAGCCGTTAACACTGAACAGGGCCGGCCACATGGTAGGAATGATGTGTCTGCAATGATTCACGAGCCCTGGTTTCTTCCTCCCGGAAGTTTGTGAGTGTGCAAACTTGACCACAGAAGGCACCATGCATTTCAGGGAAGGGCTATCGCCTCAGAAGGGGGAGAGAGCACTAGGTCATCGGTAAAGTTCTTGGAGATTGTGACTTTAACAGGGACAAAAGCACTGGTAGTCTTTGCTTAAGTGAAGTTGAGAAAGGTGTCCAGGCTGAGGAAATAGCTGTGGGCAAGAGTGGTTGGGAGGGCTTTGCCAAATCTGGGGGGAGGCAGGGAGCCGAGTAGTCTCAGTTTCTTTTTTTCTTTTTATTTTTCCTTTTTTTTTCTTTTTTTTTCTTTTTCCTTTTTTAAGTTCTCTCTCTCTCTCTTTTTTTTAGAAAAAATTATTTTATTTCACTTTACTTATTTTTAATTTGACCAGAGAGGGGCAGAGCAAGAATGAGAGAGAGACACACAATGAGAGAGAGAAAGCCACCAGGTCTGGGACTTGAACCATGGTTGGCCATATGGGAGTCCAGTGTCCTTAACCACCATGCCACCTCCTAGGCCCCCCCCCCTTTAATAATTGCTATAGGGCTGGGGACCAGCAGTTTACATGTTAAGGTGCTGGACATTCCCACATGGCTGTCCATGGTTTTGGTCCTGGACTTGGTGGCTTGCTTTCTCACCTTCCCTCTCTCTCTTTCTCTGTGTGTCTCTCTGGTCAAATTTTAAAAATGAATGAATACATAAATAAAATAATTCTTTTTTAAAAACTTGCTATAAGGTGTGCATGCTCGCTGGGCCAGAGAGACAGAAAGAGAGGAAAAGTGAGAAATCACTTTCCAGGGGGATGGCCATGCTGCAATCCCTTCCTTCTCCACTCTCCTCTCATGATTTTGGGTTTGCACACGTGCATATAAACACACACACACACACACACACACACACACAGACATGTCCCACATGATTTTCAAGCTGCAGGGTCCGGGACTCGACTGTAAAGTCAGTCGTGAGGATCCAGCGCCTTAACCACCGTACCACCTGCTGACCTAGTCTCATTTTCTTTCAATGACAAGAGGGTATGCGTGCTCACGAGAGAGAGAGAGAGAGAGAGAGAGAGAGAGCACTCGCCAATCGGGTATGATCATGCTACAATCCCGTCTCCATTTTTCCATCCCACCGACTTTTCGGGCACACATGTACATGCGCCCGTGTATTTTTCAAACTGCTGAGCCAAGATTCAAACCACAGTTGGCCATGTGAGATCTGACTCCCTTCACCACTAGACTGTGGGACCAGCCCTGGGGAGTCTCATTTTTACAAAACAAGGAGAGTTGCACTAGATAACTAAGGGAATTCTTTCAATAGTCAAAATCCTCTTGTTAGTCTTTAACAGAGAAGTCAAGGGAAGAAAATGATTGTGGTTTGGAACACAATGAGATGGAGGTGAGGGAGTCATGCAACCAGCAGAAAGTTGGAAATGTGTTACTGAAGCTCTATTTATTTATTTTGTCATAGGGTGTATGCACCCACCACAGAGAGACAGAGAGGGAAAGTGAGACATCACTTCCAGGGTAGATGGCCACATAGCAATCCCTTCTCCTCCATCTCCTCTTGGGATTTGGGGCACATACACAAACATGCCTCGCATGATTTTCAGCCCACCAGGTCCTGGACTCTAACCACACTTGGCCATGCAAGAGTCCAGCACTTTAGCCACCATGCCACCTGCTGGCCCCAACACTGAAGCTTTAGAAAGAGGTTTGAATGGAATATGCAGGTTTGAGACTCATCAAGGTATAAAGATGATTAAGGCCCAGAATGTCAACCAGGAGAAAGAGAAGAGGCCAGAGGAGGCTTGAGAGAGCAATAAGATTAGAGCTGGAAAGGTCTCTGACGGCTTAGTGTGCAAGTTCTCCTGAGGGGCTGAGCAGCTCAGAAGTGAGCCCTCTCTGAGAACATTCTGGTGTGCTCTGGAGCAAACTCTATAATTCAACTTCAGGTGAGACATGAACCCTGCAACAAGATGAGCTCCATTCTCTTCCTCTCGCTTATTTTGAGCAGTTCTGATGCTTCCAAGTTTGAACTGGCCAATCACCAATGGAAACAGTAAGTAAAAAGGAATTCATGGGACCAGCAATGTGGCATGGTGGTTGAGGCATTGGATTCCGACGTGGCTGACCATGGTTCGAGTCCTGAACCTGGCAGCTTGCCTCCTCATTTTCTCTCTCTGTCTCTCTCTGATGAGTACATGTGCGCTATAACAAAATAATAATAATATAAAAAATAAATAATTCTAAAAAAAATAAAAAGGAATCAGGGACCAGCAGGTGACGTGGTGGTTAAGGTGCTGGACACTCCCACATGGTTGACCATGGTTCGAGTCCTGGACCTGGTGACTTGCTTTCTCGCTTTCTCTCTCTCTCTGTCTCTCTCTGGTCAAACTGGAAAAGATGAATGAATAAATAAAATTAAATGAATAATTCTTTAAAAAAATGAATCTACAGAACCAATGTAAGGTATGAAATCACTCATAGGCATTGTACTGGGGGGAATCTTGACCCCAGCTGTCTTACCACGACCAAAATTCATGTCCTTCCAGAACCAATGAATGTGACCTTAATTGGAAAAGCATTCTTTGCAGGTGTCAAGTTAAAATGAGGTCATGCTAGATTAGGGTGAGCCTAATGACTGTTGTACCAAAGAGAGGGAATTTGGACACAGAGGCACACACAGGGGAATGGTGGCATGAAGACAGAGACAGAATAGGGTTGTGCCGCCATAAGCCAAGGAATGCCAAGGATTGCTGACCACCAGCAGAGGCTGAAAGGGGCAAGGAAGAATTTTCTCCTAGAAGGAAGCAAGGGAACATGGCCTGTGGACACCCTGACCTCAGACTTCTGGTTTCCGGAACCATGAGAGAGTTAAAACAAAAACAAAAACAAAACAAAACTGTCGGAGGATGTGTGTGCTTGTCAGAAAGATGGAAAGAGGGGAGAGAGAGAGAGAAAGAAAGCACCCCTAGAGGGGTGAGTGCACTACAATTCCTTCTCCTCCTTTCTCCTTTTGGGATTTTGAGCATGCACACACATGTGCCAGCATGTTTGTCAAGCTGCCAGGTTCGGACTTGAACCATGTAGCTAGCCACGTGCGATGCAGCTACCTTAGTAATGATACCACGTGTTGGCCCAAAATTATTATTTATTTAATTAACTGATTTATTTTAGAGAGAGATTTTTACTTAGAGTGCACATGCACTCACTGGGGAGACAGAGAGAGAGAGAGTGGGAAATCACCTCCTGGAGGGATGGCTGCACCACCACCCCTTCTCCTCTATTCTCCTCTTGGGATTTTGGGCATGTACCCGCTCACTCTGTGTGAGTTTCAAGCCTCCAGGTATGGGACTCAAACTGGGGTCGACCATGCAGAAGTCCAGTGTCTTAACACTGGACTTAACACTGGACTCTTACCTATTATGAATTTTGCTGGAGTGCAGATATACTGAATCATCCATGTTCTTCTATCTTTGCTAGAGGGTATAGACCTTGCCAGATTAATTGATTGATTGATTTTAGAGAGGGGGAGAGGGAGAGGGAGAAAGCACCCCCTTCCAAATGGGAATGATCATGCCACAATCCCTTCTCCTCTATTTGCCCTTCCTTCTGGGATTTCGGGTGTGCACACACATATGCATGGTGTTTTCTCAGACTGCCGGTTACGGGACTCAAACATGTAGTTGGCCAGGTGGGATACAGCAGCCTTAACCACTAAGCCACGGCCTGGCCCCGGATGACCTACTTTGACTTGCCCTGTTATTTGAATGGCTTCAGCTTTTACCTCCCTATATGCTCCTTTTAGAGTAAATTATTTAAAGCGTACGGATGACAGGAAAGGACACAACAAACACTCATGAGTCACCCCCAGATTTCCCTCCCTGCCTTTTGCACCTCTCCCTTTCCCTTTTCTGCTCTTTCCATGCCCACCCACCTGTGTACTGCTCCCAAAAGGCCAGGGAGGTGTAGAGAGGCCCAGCTTGACTCTACGCCTGCCCCTGAGGCACAACGCACGCACACACGTGCGCACACACACGCACACGCTCTGGGGGTGATAACTAGGTGACACACTGGAGGCTTTCGGAAGGGCTGGGAAGGATTATTACCCTCTAAGTAATTTTAGTTTCCCTAGGACCTCGTTCCTTTATTTTAGATACTCTCTTCCAGACAACCTGTCCTGGCATTTTGGCCTTTAACACTAGAATTTCTTTCTTTCTTTTTTTGACTTAACCCTATTTATCTATTTATTTATTTTTTAATTTGACCAGAGATGGAGAGAGAGAGAGAGAGAGAGAGAGAGAGAGAGAGAGAGAGAGAGAGAAAGTAAGCTGCGAGGTCTGGAACTCAAACCGTGGTCGGCCATGTGGGAGTCCAGAGCCCTCAACCACCATGCCACCTGCTGGCCCCTAAAGCTAGAATTTCTTTGCCCACAATAGTCTGCATTGTGGGGCGTGTCCTGGAAATGGACCTCTGCATCTGTCACCTCACAGGTACTCATTCACCCTCCTCTGGAGCCCCCTTTCAGAACGGAGTGAGCTACTTCTCATCAGCATCACAGAAGGGGTGGGGTGGTGGTGGTCAGGGGTGACACCTGGGCATGGGTACAGGTAGCTTTCCGGACTCCTTGTGCCTTCTTTTGTCTCCTGCCAAAGTTCCCATTAGAGACTTCATGTTGTCATTGTCGTTTTTAGAAATACTAACTCTCGGGCATAGACTTCAATTGCCCAATTTTACCTTGAACTTAATGTCTTCGGTTCCGATTTCAAGATACAGAATATCTTTCAGAACTGTTTTTAGTATAGAGTCCAGGAGCTCATGAGGAAGACAAATGGAGCTCCACATAACACAGCCCAAGGTGTATGTGAAAACGTGTCCCCACCGTCTTTTGTTAGGCCTGGTAGAAGTACAATGGGTGGAAAGGGCCCTATGTTCTCCTCACTTCTCATTTGTTTTGGACACAGGCTCCGTTCTGATTTAGGAGTCTCTCCTGCTCCGCATTTCAGTATAATTCTCCCCATGGTCTACAGGATCCCTGTTCTCCTTGTTTCTATAGCAACAGTCCTGTGTTGCTTGGCTAGAAGCAATTTTCTGCTGCTGTGAGGAAGCCCCATTTTTCCATTCCTTTCTCCCCAGTTGCCTTGGTAACGAGCCTCTTCCTCTTCTGGTCTCTTGGTGGTAAATTCCACCTCCCTCGTTTTCTTTTTCTCTAGTAACAGTCACTTGGTCATGACTTAAGACAGCCCTAGCCCATCTGTGAGTGAGTATATCCTGTCATGGTCAGATTGCCATCATCAAATCAGCCTCCTTTTTTCTTTATTTGCATCATTTCTCTGGACTGCCATTTTTCTTCTGGTGGTTGTCATGGTAACCATACCCTCTGAAAGTCTCCAGGCAAAGGTTCTACAGTTAACAACCGTCATGTGAGTGTGTCTGCCAATACGTGGTCGTGCATCTCCATTTCAAACCCAGCCCTAGGCAGTTACCACAAATGGGAGAGAACGGGATTTTTTTTTTCTGTCAAAGCAAACTGGATTGAGCAAGGAAGTATAGGGGACCCAGAGCTGGAAACCAACGTTTCCCAGACAATATATGTGGCTACAAGGTTTAGGCTGGGTCTATAAGAATGGCCATTATGCCAGGAGGAATTTAGAAATGCACTGGTTGGGAGGGCTGGCAGGTGGTGTGGTTAAAGGCTGGATTTCCACATGGTTCGAGTCCCAGACCAAGTGGCTTGCTTTCTCACTTTCTCTCTCCCTCTCGCTCTCACTCTGTCCCTCTCTGGTCAAATTAAAAATAAATAAAGTTAAATAAAAATAATTATTTTTAAAAAGTGTATTTTTTTTTCTTTTTTTTTTTTTGAGAGATTTTCACTGAAGGGCGTGTGCGCTCGCCAGACAGACAGAGAGAGACATAGAGACAGAAAGCGAGAAATCACCCCCCAGGGGGGATGGTCACGCCGCAATCCCTTCTCTTCCATTCTCCTCTGGGGATCTTGGGCACGTACGCACACGTGCCCGGCGTGAGTTTTAAGCCACCGGGTCCGGGACACGAACCGCGGTCGACTACGTGGGAGTCCAGCGACATAGCCATTACGCTAACTGCTGATTCCCAAAAAGTGTATTTTTTTAAAGAAAAAAAAAATGCATTGATTAGACCAGCTATTGGCATGGTGGCTGAGGTGGCTGGATTCCACATGACCGACTGTGTGGTTCAAGTCCTGGACCCAGAGGCTTGAAAAACATGCTGGGCACGTGTGCATGCATGCCTGAACTGAGAAGAGAAAGGAGGAGAAGCATTTGTGTTGTGGCCATTCCCCCTGGGGAAGAGGTGCTTTCTCACTTTCTCCTTCTCTCTCTCTTTGGTGAGAGCATGCACCCTGTAGCAAAAAAAGAGAGAAGAAAAAGAAAAATGTATTGGCAGTCATTTTAGGCAGGCTTGGTATATGCTTGAAACTTTTAGGGGTCAATCCTCCGGCCTAAGATATCCTGGTGATATGACCAGAAAGCTCGATATAGCCGACCTCATGGAGCAAAGTAATTGGAACACTTATACTGGCTAACAAGGGGTTAGCAGAATAGGCATTTAGGCATGTTACTTGAAATTTTACACATTTCTGAAAATTTCTCAGCCCTTAGGCTGCTGCTCTTACCGCTTTACTGAGGCAGATGGGCTGTTACCATTATAATAATCCGAAGTGTTCAACAAATGGCGCTTGCTACGTGCCAGGGCACTGTAACAGGCACTTTTCAGACGTTACTTCATTTTCTCCTTGTGGCAATCCTGAGCGGAATTTAAAAGATAAGAACACTGAGGCTGGCCAGCCTGTGGCATGGTGGTTAAGATGGCTGGATCCCACATGGCTGACTTCACGGTTTGAGTCCCAGACCTGGTGGCTTGGAAACCACATGGAGTATGTGTGCGTGTCTCCCCAAAATCTCAAGAGGAAAATGGAGACATGATTGTGGCATGGCCATCCCCTTGGGGCAGTGATTTCTTATTTTCTCTCCCTTTACCTTTCTCTCTCTCTGTCTGTGTCTGGCAAATGCAGCACATGATCTATATCAAACTAAAACCAAACCAAACCAAACCAAAAAACAAACAAAAAACACACACTGAGGTTAAGAGGTGAAGTTAATGGAGGTCACACAAAAGATAAGTGACAAAGCTGGGATGTGAAATTAAGTCCATCTGATTCCAAAGACCTTTTAAAAACAGATGTGGAATCTTCTGAATTTTGGTCCTCTCTGTTCCAAATTTCTCCGCTCCCGCTTTAATCTGAGCATTGCAACTACTTTATCCTTTCTGCTTTCCTTTCTTTCCTCTTCCCATTTTGTGGATCGCTGTTACTTGTTTGTTTTTCTCTTGCATCCTTTGGCCAAGGAGTTGGTCAATTCTGTCCTGCCTGTGGATTGTGTCCGAGGTCTCACTGTGGGATGAAAATTTAAAAGCGGCCGCTCTCGTGGAGAACCCGGCAGACCCAAATCTGGAGGATGCCACACCCCTGAGGTTGTTGGTTCCAGCACTAGCGAGGCAAGGCATTCCCCTCTCCACTTCACGATTATTGGGTGTCTATCCAGCACCGGGTACTGTGCTAGGGCTGAATTTGTTCCTTGCCTTTATTCTCCCCAGAAGTCAGTCAATAAGCAAGAAACCCTAACATATAACTTTATATTGTCATTAGTGCTATCTTAAAAAAAAAAAAAAAAAAAGGGAGTGGCTTAAACAAAGCAAAATAGGTTCGGATCTATTTTGGATAGGGCTGACGTTCCCCATTAAAAGGGGTGGGAGGTGCCGATGGCAGCCGCGTCGCGAACCTCCCAAGCTTGGCATTCCAGTCACTGCCCTCCCCACCCAAGCATCCCCTTCACAGTATCTGCCCTCAAAGCCGGTGCTCCGCGCATGCGCACTGGCAGTTGCCATGGGGACAGCTGCTCTGGCGCAAGCGCAGATGTCTTCAAGATGGCGGCCGTGGCGGGGGGACGGCGGGGTGT